AAATTAGCTGATAGCCTTGTGGGGTTTCCCTTGTACATAAGTGTTTTGCTCTTTCTGCTTTTAAAGTTCTTTTATTTTTATTTATTTATTTATTTGAGAGAGAGAGAGAGAGAAACAGCATGAGAGGGGAGAGGGTCAGAGGGAGAAGCAGGCTCCCCGCCGAGCCGGGAGCCCGATGTGGGACTCGATCCCAGGACGCCGGGACCATGACCTGAGCCGAAGGCAGTCGCTTAACCAACTGAGCCACCCAGGCGCCCTGAACTGAGGTTTTAAAATAGACTTTTCTATTGCTAAAAGGCCAAATTTTGCATATTTTGTCTGCATTCTGGGTCTTACTATTTTATACTTGTATGACTTATTGAAAAAAAAAAGTCATTTAATTGTTGAAGAAGTACTTTAAAATGGTCAGAATGCCTTTCTCCACACTAGTAGTAGTATAGTCAGACTCTTGGAAGATACTAAAACCAAGTACTGTATAAAATTATTGGTGATGACAGTTACTTGAAGTAAGGAGAAAGACACCTTTGACATTTAGAAAGGAGTGTGGGAAAGGAGGGCAAGTTTTATTTTTACCTCTGCTCGTTTTTATAGGTACTACTGGTTCAGGGGTATCTAGCAAAATCAGGCTGGGGATTTCCAAAAGGAAAAGTAAATAAAGAAGAAGCTCCTCATGACTGTGCTGCTAGAGAGGTGAGTTACTGCAGTTTGAAACCTAGTAACATTCGGTGATTATGCTTTGAGTGTGCTTTTTTAGCCATGGAGATTTATTGTTTGGACCCTCTAATCTTCTTTCTAAAACTTGACTGCATGAAATAACTTATCTTTTATAGTGTTTCTTTTGTCCATATCTATCATTCTTCCCTTAGTTTGTTTCCATTTTCTTTTTTGCCCATTTTAAATTGTTAATTGTTATCTCTAACTCCTTTCTATTTTGATGATATATTCTCTACCTTCGTTTTTTTTAGATGGATTTATAATTGGTAAAACATTTTGGCAATTACAGTGCTTGTTTTATGTTTATAGTCTTGGCTTCCAGACAAGTACACAATTTGGGCTTTCCTAAAAAATTTACATTTTTTGCTCAGAACCTTCTCTAGCTTCATATTGCCTATAAGATGAAGTTTAATTCTTTTAAGTATTGAAACTCCTTCCCTTATCCCCAACGCAAAATTTAGCTATCCCTAAATTTATTTGCCTTTATTCTCAGTCAAGAGGATTTATTCTCTGTCTCTGAATTTGACTGCTTTGTTTCAGCCTCTAAACTTTGTTTATATTATTTCCCTAACTGGAAAGTTCTCTCTTCTTCCTGCCTATTCAAATCCTATCTAGACCCAGCTCAAAATACCTTTTTTCCTGAAGGATTGCCACCAACTAGCTCTGTATCCAGCACCTGATTTCATACACTGTTATTAAAATACCATTGGCTATATTCCCTAAGTATACTCTACCTTTCATCCTTGTGAGTTATTCATTCCATAATTGGAATGTATTGTACTTCCCACTCCTCTTCATCCATTTTGCCCATCACCTAACCCCCTCCCCTGTGGCAACCATCAGTTCTCTATTTATGGCTCTGTTTCTGCTTTTTGTTTTGTTTTTTTAGATTCCACATATAAGTGAAATCATATGGTAATGTCTTTCTCTGTCTGATTTATTTCACCTAACATGATACCTTCTAGATCCTATCCATGTTGTTGCAAATGGCAAGATCTCATTCTTTTTTATGGCTGAGTAATATTCCTGTGTGTGTGTGTGTGTGTGTGTACACACCATATCTTTATTCAGTCATCTGTCAGTGGGTGCTGGGGTTGCTTCCGTATCTTGGCTGTTGTAAATAGTGTTATAATAAACATAGGGGTGCATATACCTTTCCAAATTAGTGTTTTTGTATTCTTTGGATAAATACCTAGTAGTGAAATTACTGGATCATGTGGTATTATTATTTTTAATTTTTTAAGGAACCTCCATACTGTTTTGCACAATGGTGGCACCAGTTTGCATTCCCACCAACAGATGCATGGGGGTTTCTTTCTCCACATCCTCACCAGCACTTGTCGTTTCTTGTCTTTTTGATTCTCGCCATTCTGTAGAGTGGATAATTTCTAAAGCTCATTCTTAATTAAAATTCCATTTATTTAAAAATTTAATCAGTGAGCTCTACCCTATAATAGTCTTGGAACTTTAATAAGTTATTGTCTAGACATTTGCTTGGCATTAATTATGTAGTACCTGTAATACATTGTGGACTGTATTCTTATTTATCAGTTCCTTGTCACTTACCACATTACATCTTACCCTTGAAATTTGAGATGTTGAGCTATAAAGAAGCATAATACAATAGAAAGAAAACTAGTCTAGGAGTTGAAAGATTTTTGTTCCGTTATAGTTCTCATATATGTTAGTCAGTAGCCTAGAGGCTTTGGGTAAGTCACTTAATTTCTCTGTGAGATACACATTTGTTAAGAAGAGTTACTTAAAGGGTTCATAACTAGAAGTATCTTTAAAATCTAAGGTGTAAGTGGTTAACTTTGAGATATTTTTGAGATGGCAATATGAATTTTGTGGCATATCTCATTTGGAACTGTTGCCTTATTTATTTATTTATTTATTTTTGACTCTTTTTCCTGCAGCAGTGTTCACCACCTGGTTTGAATTTGGATGTAATTATTAGTGAGCGATAGTAATTAAAATTCTTATAAACTACTAGTAGTTATTTAACACAGAAAAACCATTAGTGGTTATTTGGAGTAGGATTTAAAAAATGATTAAAAGTGCTGCATTTTAAATTTAGTATGCAACAGCTTATCTAAGTAAGTGTTTTGAACAGCTTATAGACAAAGCCATTTTATGCAGGTAAGTGAAGGTTTATTTATGCATACCTCTTAAAATTGAAAGTTGTTTAGGTAGTAGGTGAGAAATTGACACATATTCTAAGCTTTCCCTTTCCTTTTTGTATATGGTAGGAGATGAAATGGAGCAGTTGTAAAGTCTCCCTTTTATGTCCTCAAACTTTGTGGTTCTCTTGCTCAAAAGGAAGGACAAAATAGAAATCATAGCATCCTACTTAGAGGAATTGATGTGTAGTTCTGTACATAGAGTTAGATTAGTCCTATAGCAGTAAGGTAATTGTCTGGGTCCAGAAAAGACACTATGTTAACTAGGAAACAGGCTAAATTTGGACTAAATTTGGTGAGATCAGCTGTCTCTGTAATTGGATCTTTTTGAGGGAACTTGGAGGAAATCAAATATTTAAACTTGCAAAACTGAAGAGAAGTATCCCATGCCCAAGGGATTATCTACATCTACCACTAGAACCTTTCTTCTGACCAGTTTTATACACAATATTATAAAGAGGATGATGCAGAAATAAGGTATTGGGGGAGGGGATGGGAGAGAGGGGCAGAGGCAGTTAACCTGTGAGCTGAGGCACCCAGTTTTCACTTTAGTTTATCTTACTTGTTTGTTTTCTGCTCTGGGATACTAAGGTATAGGATTGTCCGATTCATGTGGTGCTAATTTCAATAATGATTATAGATCACCATAGTTTGTAAGAAAGTAAATAAAATTTATTAGGGCAGGGGGAGTGGGAGAATGGAGTGTAGATGATAGGATGCTATAGAGAATCTTGTGGGGAGGGATACAGCCATTACGGAAGATGATCGTCTCCACTTTATAGGAGAGGAACTGAAACAGAGCAGTTTGGTAACATACCAAGGTGTCACAGTGAGCAGCAGAACAGGGATGCAAAACCCTGGCGGTTGGTTCCGGAGTCTGTGTTCCTGACTACTACAGTATAGGCAGTCAAGGAATATTGTAAATGGTATTTCTAAACACATAGATGAAAACGGAAGGAATTTGTGATTTTTAAGTATATGTATTTTCTAATAATATTTACCTTTCTGATTTGAATCATGATTTTTTTTTCCCCGTTTTAGAGTTTTTGTCTTGCTCTGAGGAGAGCACAGATATTCTTCGGAACCATATTCTCTTAATTTCAGGGAAAGATTTTTTCCTTTCGATAATAAGAATTAATCCTTCTAACCTTTCTGATCTAAGAAACATCCTCTTTTAGCTGATAAAGGAACTTGTCAGAAGAAAACTTGTCTTTAATTTTTGTACATTTTGGGATGAGAATTTGACTTTTATATCTGATTTTTAGATGATTACCTCTGTTATAAAGAGAGAAAAGTTTTAGGATTAAAGTTGAGCATTGCTTTATTAGTTCAGTCAGGCAGACATAATGAAATACCACAGTCTGAGTGGCTTAAACAACAGAAATTTATCCCTCCTAGTTCTAGAGGCTGAGAAGTCCCAAGATCAAGGTGCCTGCTGGTAAGATTCCTAGTGAGGGCTCTCATCCTGGCTTGCAGGGGCTGCTTTCTCACTGTGTGCTTATGTGGTCTTCCCTGGGTGCCTTTGTGAGTGCAGAGAGTGTGCCATGTCTCTTCCTCTTCATATAAGGGCATGAGCCCTATTGGATTAGGTCCCCAACCTTATGGCCTCATTTTACCTTTATCACCTCCTCACAGGCCCTGTCTCCACATACAGTCACATTGAGCGTTAGGCCTTCAACATGAATTTTGGTGAGACAAAGTTTAGTTCATAGCAGTTGCCGTCTTGAGTAATGAAAAGTATTCAACTAGCAGTCCTAGACTTGTAGTGTGTCCTTCTGCCACTTGGTGGTACTGCAGTACTGTTTGGTGGTGGGGGGGGTGGGACGTACCATCTATGTTAAATTTGAGTTTAAAACCAGATTGGGGTATTACCACAAACCTCTCTGAAAAAAACAATGTTCCTTTTAATTTTCACTTGTATTAACCTATAAGGAGGAGTTCTGTCCTAATTTTTTTAGCTGCCATTAGTTAGACTTAGGCTGATGCCTTCAACACTTTTTCTTGGACTTTTAAGTTATGCAGTTCTGTCGTGGGTGCTTACCCTTCTTTTCAGTTGCTAATGACATATTAATTTGGTTTATTATAGTTATGTTACTGTTATTATTTCATTACATGTGGCTGTCCAGGAGTGTTTTGTTATAGCAGAAGCTGACCCATCTTTTAAGGGCTGTGTATGTGGGCTGAACTGAAAGAAGCAGTGGCAGCCTTCTCAGGGACAAGGTATGAATAATTGTCAATAGAAAGCTTAGTGCCGTCTTCCTTAGTAGTTGCCAATCCTTGACCTCTCGGTTCACCTTTCTTAATTGGGTTCTGATTACTTTTACTCAGTGAAGTAGATTTAGGACAAAGATGTGAAAAATGTTTTCTAGATATTCTTAAAAGGATGCGTTAGGATAACCTCAGTATATTTTTATTGTTAGTGGTGGTGAAACATCAGTTGTTGCACAAGCAAATGATCCTTGGCAGTTCACTTGTTTCAGGATTTATTTTGGTGTTTTTACTTAGCAAAACAATATATTTTATTGTAATGAAACTGACATTATGCATTTAATCCTGTGTATTGTGATTTAATTTTGATAGAATTCCTACAGAGGAACTGTTGGTAGATCTAGTCTACCTCTTCCTATAAGTTTATAAAAGGACATTAGATAGTAGGTAGAGGATTTCATTATCTGCCTGTGCTGGTGCTTTTTGAATAGCACATTTTTAAATCTTACTTAGGGATTTTTATCTGATACCGTTTGAGAATTGAATGCTTTTTTATGTGCCAGGAAAATTAAGTATTATAATACAGAA